GGCCCTTAGTGGGGGGGGGGCGGAGGGCTGCCGGCGGGATGCTCCGCTGGCGGGGGCCCAGCTCCCGCTTGCCGACGCGCCTTTCTTTCCCCGAAGGCTGTACCTGTGCTGGGAAACCGGAACTTTCCTTTTCGGTTTTGGACACCTGTGCAAGTCCCTGTGATGAAACGGGCGTGTGGGAGCGAAACTGTGCTCTTCCAGGCACAGTGACCGTGAGCTGTGGGAGCGCGGGTGTAGCTGTGCCTGCACAGCCCGGCACAAGCTGGCCTTCTCTGGCAGAGCTCGTGCTGCACCGGGCACGGCGAGAGCGCTCGGAGAGCGGCCACCACGGCCGCTGTCGTGGTTTAACCCCAGCCGGCAACTGAGCACCACCCAGCCGCTCGCTCACTCCCCCCCGGTGGGACGGGGGAGAGAATCGGAAGGGTAAAAGTGAGAAAACTGGTGGGTTGAGATAAAGACAGTTTAATAGGTAAAGCAAAAGCTGTTCACACAAGCAAAGCAAAACAAGGAATTCATTCACTCCTTCCCATGGGCAGGCAGGTGTGCAGCCATCTCCAGGAAAGCAGGGCTCCATCATGCGTAACGGTGACTTGGGAAGACAAACGCCATCATTCCAAACGTCCCCCCCTTCCTTCTTCTTCCCCCAGCTTTATATGCTGAGCATGACGTCACATGGCGTGGAATATCCCTTGGGCCAGCTGGGGTCAGCTGTCCCGGCCGTGCCCCCTCCCAGCTTCTCGCCGGCAGGGCATGAGAAGCTGAAGAGTCCTTGACTAGCGTACGCACTGCTTAGCAGCAACTAAAACATGGGTGCGTTATCAACATTGTTCTCGTCCTAAATCCAAAACCCAGCACTGTACCAGCTACTAGGAAGGAAATTAACTCTATCCCTGCCGAAACCAGGACAGCCACTTAAACTGGCCCGGGCCATGCGCTTCCCAAAACAGGCCATACCTAAGGCTGTGGTGTGAGCCGTGCACAAACCTTTCATTTACAAAGTACAAAACCACAGAAGTATTTTCTCATCTCTTTGAGTCCACAGTGCTGAATAAAAAACTTTACCTGGAGGCTTTTCAAGTAGAAAACGCTGTCGGGGAAGCGAGCCTTCAAAAGAACCGTGCTTTGTACTGGGGATTTACAAGCCTACCTCAGACCTTTGGAGGGAGCTTCCTCAAAGCGAGGGCAGCACCCTAAAGAGGGTCCTTTGTAGCGAGGACCACGTCATGTGGGAGAGGAGAAATCAGATGCCTTGTACTAGCCAGATTTTTTTTCAGCTGGGTTTTTCACGCTGAGTCTTTGCAGCCCGTTACCTGCACCCGTCTTCCTTAGTGTTCTGCATACCTGGGATTTTGCAGGTAGGAGAAGGTATGGGAGCAGGAGGCCAGAGGGGCACAGCATGTGCATGGGCAGAGATCTCTGGAGGCGAGTGTGGTGACACTGAGGGTGGTGAAGCACTGGCACAGGTTGCCCAGAGAGGTGGTGGATGCCCCATCCCTGGAAACATTCCAGGTCAGGCTGGACGGGGCTCTGAGCAACCTGATCTAGTTGAAGATGTCTCTGCTCGTTGCAGGGGGGTTGGGCTAGGTGACCTTTAGAGGTCCCTTCCAACCCAAGCCATTTTATGATTCTATGTTCCTATGAGTGCCCGAGGCGGGTACCGGTGAGGGCACGTATGCACAGGGATGGCATCTCTCAAGGAGGTCTGGGTGCAGGGGAGCAAGCAACTTCTGCTGTCATGATGTGAAGTGCGGTTGAGTTGATTTGTTGGGTGCGAGGGTAACATTGTGGGAATTGAGTCTGTGAAATAGTTTTTATTCAGTCAGGGTTTAGATTTAAAACTCTTGTCTGCAAAAGGTGGGTAACTGACACGTTCATTTCATGTGTTTATGCATCAACTATAGACATATAAAATAGGTTATTTATCTTAGAACATAAACGTCATTAGGTTTTACTCCTGTGACATTTAAGCACTAATCTGATCTGACAGGGTTTGTTTGCATTGATCATTTGTGTTGCAATAACGGGCCAAAATTCTATTTTAGCTTCAATACCAACCATTATTTTAAATAATTAAATCGTAATAGTAATGGACTGTTCATCAATACTACTTTAGGGTTTCCTTTATTCAGTTTCAATAAAGCAAAACGACTGTGTTTTCATCGCTTGTGAAGAGTGCCAATTAATGATACGTTTATCTGTGTGGTATATTTAATAGCTCTCTTGCCTTCAAAGGTATTTCTTGTTTATCTCTGTTTTTCAAAAGGGTGGCTTAATAACAGAATGAGTAAAGCATTTTAAATGGCAATGTTAATCCATACAGTGATGGTATAAACATGCTTACGGTGGATTTTTTTTAAATTATTTCAGTCTTATACCCAGGTCTATGTAGAAAGACTGTTCATGTTCCTCTTCAGAAAAAAAAAAAACCCACAACAAATCAATCCACACACCCATGTTATTTCCATAGTGCTACTGGAGCACTAATTAGAAAAACTTGATTTTGACAATCTCGGTGAGAGTTCATGCACGTAGCCTGATGGGCCCTAAGTCTTAGGCAGTAACAAGTCAGTCATGCGTAAGAAATGATGATATCATAAAGGCCGTACTTACTGGAAATAATTAATGCTGGCTAAATTGTTTTTGTTGCATAAGCTCAGGAGGAACGATAGGCATCAGGATTTAAATTAATTATATTAAAGGCTGCTTTAAAAAAAGCGTCTGAGGCAAGGAAGAGAAAGAAGGCTGTATTTAAGTTGCGGATGTCAGAAGTCGCTGGAGAAACACATACTAAAATGTTTGTTTGTTTTTGATTGCTCCCACAGTATCTGGAATAGTGCCAAAACCCCAAAACGCAAGAATTATTTCAGTTAATTTTCGTAGCATTTTACAGTGGGATGCACCCAGGTTTCACAATGGGAACATAAGTTACACTGTCCAATCCAACAGGTAAGTCTGGGGGAGTTGTGCTTTCTTTAATTCACGTTTTATAGCTGCGTGTGTTTGTGATGTGTTTCCTTTTTCATAGGAAGATTGGTAGCTGTCCCTTTCCTTTAGCTTGTGAGAGGCTTATCTTCTGAGCTAAATAACAGGGCGGAGGCATTTTCTACACGTTTCACACCCAAGGCAGCTTTGTACGTACTTTTTTTGGAACCAGAAACACATTTTAACGTCAGCTGTCGTTAGCTGTGTGCGTGGTTTTTCTCTATCATGTAGCTGTTACCTGCGATTCAAGAGACTTAGTCCCGCTGAGCGTTAGGACCTTGCCTGATCGTTCACTCCAGCAGCATTTTGGGCTCTGCCACCAACGCAGCCAGCTTGCCTGCGCCCTTGGTGGAAATGCCCGATGAACTGCAGGCTGGTGGCTCGGCCGTTCAGTGCCTTAAACTCAGGACGCATTTTCTGAGGTCTCCTTTTGTCGGTTTTGGTGGGTTGATTTAGCTTTCATTGGGTTTTGCCACTGTGTCCTTCCGAGCTGGTCTTTCCCGTTGGGAAAAGTGGTCTGTGCGGCTGTACCGAGGAAGGCGGCCGCTTCCCCAGCCGGGCGGTGGGCTCCCTGCCTGCCTCCGTGCCTGA